CCGGTGAGTATATTGACTCTTGCTTTAACTTGTGCGTCCATGTCTGCAGATACTAATGACATCACTTGGCGTTTAACTTGTGCAGTACGGTCGGTGGTTTGAACCCGTCTCTCGGAGGTCCCGGCCATCGATGATGTCGTATCCACCACGCACCCTATCCACCGTATCCACCTCCGCGTGGCCCTCCTCCGACGACTCGTGGTGGCGGCGGTGATGGTGAGGGTGGCTGACGCTGCAGCGCCTCGATTTGGTCCAAGGGGTTTCCGTGGGCAAACCCCAGGGGCTCTGGGGCGGAGCGGACGACGAGACAGGGGACGGCGCTTGACGAGCTAGGTATTTGTCGATTTCTGTTATCATGTATCCACCGTGATCGTCGAAGTTGTTGTCATGTATTTCTTTTCTTCGTTATGGACCTAGACTTGTTATGTTGAACTTCGTGTGATGGACGTCGACTTGTGGTGTGTTCGACGTGTTGGACTTCATGTGATGGTTGTAATGCACTTGTGTGGTTGTTATTGTGACATATATGTGAGATATATGTGATGTTGTGCGTTATTGTGATATATGTGGTGATGTTGGCGACAAATGTGATGAAATTGTGATATAAATGGTGCTCTGGTGCTTACGGTGAAATTGGATTATAATTTGTGATTTTGCGGGGTTTTGATGCGAGAAAGCGAAAACAAAAGCAAAAAAAATTCCAGCTTTGCCGATCGTTTACGATCGGCAAAGTCTGGGCAAAAACCCCAGATGAGTCTTTGCCGATCGCAATGGGAGGCGATCGGCAAAGAGGTCAAACCTTTGCCGATCGCAACTCAAAGCGATCGGCAAAGAACATTTCAAAAAAAATATTTTCTTTCTTTGCCGACCGCTGAATTTGGCGGCGATTCGGCAAACAATTTTGAAAAAAAATTCTTTGCCGGCCCGCCGAGGAACCAAAGATCGGCAAAGCCGCGCCGTCGAAATCGACGTACGCCACACGGCTATGCCGATCGGCTTTGGCGTGGCGGTTGGCAAAGGCTTTTTGCCGATGTGCGTGCGTGGCGATCGGCAAATCCGCCTTTGCCGACCCGAGCTTTGCCCGGCGCCATTGCATTAACTGCGGTCGGCAAAGCCTTTGCCGACTGGTTTATGCCTTTGCCGACCGGGCAAGCGATCGGCAAAGAGACGTTTTCTGTGTAGTGGTTCGTCGTCGGCGACCCGGTTCTTCCGCCAAGCACCGCTACGCCCCGCCGCCCGCTCCATGGTGTTCAAGGCGCAGCTCTTGGCGCCATGAAGGAGGCCCAGCGAGGCGGGGCGCGCGCGGTGCGTCATCAAGGTGGGCGACATGGATCCCGCTGCCTTGGCGGGGCTCCTCCACTACATCTACACGGACTCGCTTCGCCGACGCAGCGCACCGCTGGCAGGGTCGTGGTGGCGAAAGCACCTGCTCGTGGTCGCGGACCGCTACGGGCTCGACAGGCTGAGGATGCTGTGCGAGGCGAGGCTGTGCGGCTGGATCGACGTGCAGTCGGTGGCGACCACCTTGGCGTTGGCCGAGCGGCACCAGTGCGTCAAGCTCAGAGAAGCTTGCCTGAGGTTCCTGTCCTGGCCGGACATGCTTCGCGCTGCCATGAAAACGGATGGGTTCGGCCATCTCATTGCGAGCTACCCTTCGGTTGCCAGCGATATCTTGGACAAGGTCGTCTCGGCAAGAGTTGATGATCATTGATCAGTAGCCTCGCTTGTTCGTTGGTGTACGTTTTGGAAGGTGTGCTGATGAGTCTTATTTAAAATCTGCTGTCGGTTGAACTGATTTCATCATATAAGAAAGTACAATAATAAGCTTATAGCCAAACAAATGACGTAGAGCAGAGAAGAGAGGAGAGCTGGGCTCTCATGTAAGCAACAAGCTAGGCACGGATACATATGTAGTTGTGGGCCCATACTTGAAGTGAATGTGAGGAGGAGGATCAAAGAGAAGGTGGGACATAGGTAAAAGTAACAATAAAAAAGATTGTTATAGACAAATAAAAAACCACTATTGTACAACTTGGTTAATAGCCAAACACTTGGCTCTATTTTTGGCCTTGCTCTAAGGGCGCCCTCAATGGCATAGCCAATCGTGTGGTTCAAGATATGATAGAAACCAGAAAAAGCTTTGAACGTCGGAGCAGAGAGCAGAGAGTGAGCGTCTTGGGAGAAGTGTGAGACCAGCGCTTGAGGCCTCGCTAGCGCAATTGATTTTACAATTCTCTCTCCTGTCTAACCAATAACATATGAGCACTGCTAGCGATTTCGATAGCCGTTGGAGCCGCCCTAAGGGCAGTCTCAATGCTAAAAACCACGTATGGTTTCTACGTCTATTAATTTATATTGACACTACATATAAAGAAACTATATTCCCAATGGATAGTTTTTACATAATAATCTTTTATCCAACCACATGTCTTTTTTCTCCCTCATCTGACTATCACATCTCATTATGTCTTGATTCCTGTATAGACATAGTTTCTTATTAAGAAACCATTTTCTTCTCTCTCTCCTCGTTAATTCGCTTGCCACATCAGCAAAATGCTTAGGTGACAGAGTAATTAATACATATAGAAACTATGATGGTTTCTGCATTGTGAGTGACCTAAGTATTTCTATTGGATGAGTATAATATGTCGGTGTAGTGCAATCAACAACTGCATGCAACATGACTCATTTGAAAAAAGAATTTGTAATCCAAGCTTTGGTACTATAACGATATAACACTATAGGAAGTTTTTGAAGAATCTAGACAAATTCGTGACAATTATTGATTTTCTGAATTCGTGACAATTGTATTGAAAAATTGATTTAGTGTGTGTAGTATGCTTGCTTGTTCGCCGGCGCTTGCCCTTGCTGCACGGTAGCATTGCACCAGGAAAAAAAAATCCTTTTTCACTCCATTACTATCATTGTAATCCAGTTTTTCTCTTTATCAAACTCTATAGAGCCGGACATCTTAATGCCCTCCTCCCCACACACTACTCTCAAAACCATTTGAATTATATTTCATGGTAGAAGTGGTTGGCAAGGTAGTTTCTTTATTTTTGTAAACCACAAAAATGTCTCTAAGCTTTTGAAAATCCGAGAAAAAATTTAGAGATATATTTGGGGCATGAGAAACCAAAAAAAAATTAGAGATCATGAAAAATATCTCTACAAACCTCCAAGCTCTAAGAAAATGGATAAAAACATCCAAACAATCTATAAAATTCCCTAAACATTGCAATCAATATCTAAGTACATTTTAAAAACTTTCCTCAACAAAAACACAACATCTAAACAACATGAATGCATTTCACATTATTGTATTTTCCATTCATGTTGGTTGCATCTCATATTTTTGTTGAATAAAGTTTTTAAGACATGTTTAGACATTGATTAGTATGTCCTCAGAATTTTCTAGTTTCCTGGATATTTTTTTTCTATTTTCCTAGAGCTAATTCAGAATTGTAGAAGCTTTTAGAGATATTTTCATGAGATCTAATTATCTTATTTGGATTTCACGTATCCCAATCCATATCTAGAAGTTTTTTTCAGAACTTAGAAGCTTAGATACATTTTTCGTGGTTTAAAAGCATTGTAAGAGATTTATCGAATGTTTTTTAACTAAAAAATAAATCCATCTTGAAAACCAATTCTAACTAGGGCAGAGAGGTAATCTAAAGGTTTTTTTAGAGTCTAGAGAGTAAGATGTATGTCTTTGAGGATCGAAAGGAAAACTAGACTTTGGTGGTTGAAAATATACAAATAGGGTCGAGCGAAAAAGCTCGTGGCTAGCTAGCTAGTTCAACTCAGTTCGGCTTGTCTTTTTTTTAGTTTTTGTAACAAGCCAAAAAATGGCATTTTAGCTCTTTAAGTTAATGAGTAAGTTTGAGCGAGCTTGCAAGTCAGCTCAGGAGCTAAATGGGCCAAATATTTCTTCGTAATCCAACAACTTAAATCGGCACCAATTACTCTTCATGTCACACTATACGCATGAGATTGAAGCTTTATAACCTATGTGGTTATATGCGCTATTGTGTACCTCTTTTACTTTGTGTTTGCATGGAACTAATTATATATTACTCCATCCATTCCAAATTATAAGTGGTTTTAACTTTTTTAAGATACATTATTTTGCTATGCACTTAGATATACACTGTGTCCAGATGCATAGTTAAAACAATAAATCCGAACAAATCAAAACGTCTTATAATTTAGAGCAGAGAGAATAATGATTATTGATTATTTTATTGATTGCAGATTTTTTTAATATATATAAGTTGAGCCGCTATCCTAACGAGCCATATTGAATAGAGCCATAATAAGGAGCCAAACAGCCCTAAAGTACAAATGATTTTTTTCCTGTCGCAACTCACACCACACACGCAGGCCAACGGCCCTCGCGCTGTGGCCGTTTCGTGATAGCAGCCTTGGGCCTCCACCACTACCATACTCGGCTGGGCCGAATTTCATTGGTCCACGAAATTTTAGCCCCAGGCACGCACGACGCACGCGGGCGCGGCACGCTACCCCTGCCGGCCTGCCCCACCCCACCCGAGCCGACGGCCGACGCAGCCACGCAGGCAAGAGCAAAGAGAAGAGGCACGCGGGGCCGGCGCGGGGCTTTGGTGTCGTGCACTCGGCGCCACGGGGGGCAGTGGGCACTCGACTCGTGCGCAGGGGGTTTTCTTCCGCGAGCTTCTCCCCCCGACTCCGGCCGGCCCGCCGCCGCAGGCATCGTGTCGTGCGTGTTGAAGCGAACGCCTCCCGACCCCGGGGGGATAGATTAGACTCTGTTCCAGTCCCCGATGATATCCCAGGTCTGGGCTGCCCGATCTCTCCCCCGATCCCCAACGAAGCTCCATCAGCCACGGCTTCCGTCAGCGGCGCCCTAGCCGGCCGCCTTGCGCTCCGTCGCCGATTCGCCGCGCCACGGGCCGATTCGCCGTTCCTCCGGCCATCGAGCGCGGGCGGATAGGCAATCGCGGCCCTGAGACGCCCTCATGGACGCCAGATCGGTCACGGGGCCTCCGCCGCCGCCCCTCTCCGCCGGCGCCTTGGCTGATCGCCGCGATCCTTCGGCGTTCCCGGACGGCTGCTTCCGCCTGCCCAAGACCTCGTCGACGAGCCTGACCAAATCCTTCACGGCGGTGCACGACTTCAGGGTGACCGACTACTCGCTGCTGGAGGGCATGGGGTTCGGCAGGTACGTCAGCTCCAGCACCTTCTCCGTCGGCGGCAGCGACTGGGCCGTCCGATTCTATCCGGACGGCGCCACGGCGGGCTTGCTCGGCGACGTCTCGGCCTTCCTGTACTACTACAGCCGGGACCGGGACGCGCCCGGCGTCAGGGCGCGGTTCACCCTCAATCTGCTCGAGAGGGACGGGAAGATGCCCCCGGCCAGCAACCCCTACATGAAGCACACCTTCTCTCTGGCCAGCGACAACTGGGGCTTCACCAAGTTCATGGAGAAGTCCAGGCTGCAGCAGGGCTCGCCGTACCTCGACAGGGACTGCCTCACGATCAGGTGCGTGCTGACGGTGGTGATCGACTCCCGCACCGTGGACAACGAGATGAACTCTGTCGTCGTCCCGCCGTCCAACCTGTACCAGGACTTTGGGGAGATGCTGAGCGATGGCGAAGGTGCAGACGTCACATTCACTGTGGACGGCCAGTTGTTTCATGCCCACAGATGTGTCCTGGCTTTCCGCTCTCCGGTGTTTAGAGCGGCGCTCTTTGGTCCAATGAAGGAGAAAGCTGAAAATCTCATCAAAATCGATGACATGGAGCCAGCAATCTTCGAGGCTCTGCTTCACTTCATCTACACAGATCGTCTGCCTGATAGCTGCAGTGATGGCCGGAATGTGGCGATGCAGCACTTGCTCGTTGCCGCGGACCGGTATGGAGCGGAGAGGCTAAGGTTGTTGTGTGAAAGTAAGCTCAGCGAAGCCATTGATGTGGAAACAGTGGCGACGACGCTAGCTTTAGCAGAGCAGCACAACTGCTCGCAGCTGCGACGAGCCTGCATTGAGTTCATGGCCTCGCCAAACATGCTTGGCCCAATCATGGAAACCGATGGATTCAATCATCTCATTGCAAGCTGTCCATTGGTTATGAAGGAGATTCTAGACAAGGTCTCCTGCATTTGGAGTGGTAAGCAGTGCCGGTGACAAGTGAGTGATACTGATTCTTAGTCAGTCAGTCAGTCGTGTGTATTGCTGTGGCATATCTTTTAGGGAGTGAACCTTCTAGTTCATGATGTTTTTTAGAATGATAACAATAACATCGGTTTCATGGCAAATGACTCCAAAAATTGAAATTTCTCTAGGTTTGGGCATATGTTCAGTTGCTATCCATCTGTGCGTTTGTTCTCTCTATATATACTGACCAGCAGTGACTTACATCAGACATAGTATATCAACAATGAAACTCTATCTAAACGTCAGTATCAATTCACCTTTGTCCCCTTGTCGTTAAATTGTGGTATTTAAGCCGTGTGTGGTTCTGGTTCTGTGCTGCGGGTGCGTGGAGCTTCAGAATAATTTTTCCTTGGATGAAAGTTGTGTTATGCTATGCATTGTGTTGCATTGGTCCTGAATCAATCTGCATTTCCCATCTGATGTCTATAATTTATCCATGGCAATGCATATATTCAGGTCCTAATGTTTCATGCAAGATATATCCGCTGTATTTTCCTTTGATCTACCTAAAATGACTGAGGATTTGTGATGATTGGTACCCGGTACAAACAATATGCTTTTCTTCTTGATATGTCATAACTTCTCAACCTAACTCGGTTGAAGTTAACCTGGCCATGTTCACCTTCCCACTATACCTATTTGGATTGAAGCAGGCTAGAGCTTCATGCACCTAGAATCCCAGGTGACTGATTTTAGATGCCGGGACAGAATGAGTCACTGGGCTGCGGAGCGAGGGTGGAGAGGCTGACCTGCTGAAGAAGGGAAAACCAGAACTGTTTGGCAAACACGCATCTAATCAAGAGGTGTTGGATGCTTTCCTCATGCTGATCACACAGGAGGCAGCGATCATGGTGGGGGAGCCCTCGCTTGTCCAGCCAATCTGCTGTCCAACATCGTTTATGTGCCACCAGCCACATAAAGAAGCGACACTTTGGTGGAGCCCATGACTTCCATATTCGTTCATAGGGTTCAAAGTGGATGGCACCCTGAAAAAGAGCATCATAAGCAGATTTTGCGGTGTACTGACCAGTAGTGGATAGCCTCCAAATATGTCTGCCAGGCACGCCTTCCTGAAGTACCACAGTAGAAATTATATCCCAAAGCTCCAGGTACTCCATTAGTGCTTCCAGGGAGATGGCGCCTTGAATATCCTCCAGCCATTTATTATTATTGAGGGCCTCCATCACAGCGGGCCTTCCGGACCTCCTTTTAGTCACTAGTGCATACTCCCTCCATACCCAAAAAAAAAACTAACGTTTAGGACAATTACGGTAATCAAGGATGATTAATTAGGGGTTAGTTTTCCATCTTTGCCCCTAATAAATATGGTTGCGGGTGCTATCTTTATGAGAAAGTAACTCAGCCCAACTGGCTAGTGCGTGGAGGCATGAGTGCTGCGACTCGGGTTCGAACCCTGGCAGCCACATTTTTTTGTTGCCCCTTCATTTTGCATGGGCGTGCATGCCACTGTTCCACCGGCGTGGCGCGTCCTTTTTTCACGCGGATGGAAGCTGGAGTCGCTTGGGGGCCTGCATTTTCGCTTGGCGCGCGTTTCAGGTTATTTGATTTTCTTATTTCGTCTGCGCGCTCGGATGGCTGATGGTACGCGCTCGTTTCGAATGAGAAGACCGACGTTTGAGCTGCCTGTACTCCACGCCACTGGCTTATTTATACGGCAACTTGCTTTCTCTCTTCTCCAACGCCATTTAGTCCGGCAGCAGCTCGTCGGAGTCGGGCAGCTCCTTGACGGAGTCCGGCACCTCCTCGACGGAGTCCGGCAGCACCGCGTCGGAGTCCTGCAGCACCTCGTCGGAGTCCGGCAGCACCGCGTCGGAGTCCTGCAACACCTCGTCGGAGTCCGACACCACCAGCGAGGCTGAGACGGTGTGCGCGGCGAGCGTCGACCGTGGGCGAGCGTGCGGCACGACGTCTAGTATTTTGAATACGGAGGGAGTACCTTTGGTGCAAGGTCCTGGATGCTCTTCCCGGCCAGCCATCTATCTCTCCAAAATAAAGTGTTGGCCCCATCTCTAATTTCAGTTGCCCGTTCTGGTTTCCAAGCAAATAACCTCTACATGATAAGAGATATATACGCCCTAAGTTTGACAATGCTATTAGAATTAGAATTGTCATTTCATAACCAATGTTGCACCTAAACATCTTACTAGACAACGTAACTTTCTTTAGGCAGAATTAGCGCAAACAATATTAGGGAGCCTGAGGGAACGCCTAATCTATGAGCAATAAGAGTTACCATATATATATAATTTTATCTTATACTCTTATAAATATAAAGCAAAACTCCACTACCATATTTTTCTGCAATTTCGTGAAGCCACGTCACACCAAGGGACCCACTAAGCCACTAACATCATCCATTGAGTCTTCGTACAATCCATACATGGAACTTCCATCTCCTTGCATCCTGTGCCCTTTGGTTTGTTAATCTCCTCATCTCCTGTAACTGATTAGCCAAAATGCCATGGCATCCTTCACAGACAGTCTTTTTGACAGGAACTTCTGGGCTTTGACGTTCTATTGCCATGCCAGTGTCCACCACTCTCCTGTGCTATTAAATTAATCTAAACTCTATCTATACTAATTTACTGTTACTAGAACCGCACATGTTCCTGGATCCCAACCTGGGCCACGTCACCGTTTTTCATGTGGCCCGTCCGATTGGCATCATGCGGCCTCTGTTCGGCGATGGCTGAACTCTCTCACACCCAAAATATCTAGCGGCGCGAGCGCCTCTCTCCCGCTCATCCTCCACGCGCGCCCATTCTCGTTCCTTCGCTGCTCCTCCCTCTCTCTCTAAGCGGCTAGGGCGAGCCCCGGTCGCGCATGTCCCGCCCTTAGCTAGGGCGGCCTGGCGCGGCAGCCCTAGCGAGGGAGGCCCCGGGCTCGGTCGGCCCTTGGGCCCGCCCTACGGCCCTGGCACGGGCGGGCCCCAGCCCGGCGTGGAGCGGCGGCGGCGGCGTAGGTCCGGCGGCGCGGCATGACACGGTGGTGGCGCGGCGTGACACGGTGGCGGCACAAAGCCAGGTAATTTCCTCCTCCTCTGCGGCTTAAGGTCCTGGTGACGAGCTAAGTTGGAGGAGGTAGGAGGACGTGGTTCCACCCTTGAGATGTTGCCCCTCCTCTTTCTCTTTTTGCGTTGTTTTTTTTACTTTGGGTTAGATTTGTGACTGAACAAAGTGGTGGAAACTAAAAGGGGAGACGTTAGAGGTATTCAGGGAAAGGGTTATCAAAGAGGACTCTTGAAAGGAAGAAGAGGACACAAACAACATGTGGGAGAAGATGGCAACCAACATTCAGAAGGTGGCCTCAGAGGTGTGTGGAGTAACCAAAGGAAGTGGAGGCGAGGCTAAAGATACTTGGTGGTGGAAGAAGTAAGTCCAAAGGATTATTAAGGAGAATAAAGAATGCTATAGACGCTTGTACCATGATAGGAGTGTGGTCAACATAGAGAAGTACAAGGTGGCAAAGAAGACTGCAAAGCGAGCTATAAATGTGGCAAAGGGTAGAGCATACGAGGATCTTTACCAACATTTGAGTACGAAGGAAGAAGAGAAAGACATCTATAGGATGACTAGGGTTCATGAGAGAAAGACAAGGGACTTCAACCAAGTTAAGTGCATTAAGGATGAAAGGGAGCATCTCTTGGTGAAGGAGGATGAGATCCAACATCGATGCCAAGAGTATTTTGACAAATTGTTCAATGGTGAGAATAAGGACACAACCTGTCGGGTTCATAAACCTAGGGTCCCCAATGGACCCGCTTCCCTACAAAAACTCGGCCCAGCAGACGGCATAGCAACAACGCTCGCCTCCCGAGCTGGCCCAGATACAGGCCGGCGCAACGATCCGGTCCCCGACCAAAAGGACTAGCCAAGGTGAGGACACAGTCCGACTCCAACCTCCTTTTCGACTGAGGATACGTCGGACCTCTGCTCGCGATTCTTCCCTGACCGACACGGTCGGGGCCGACTAGGAACAACCGACCGGGGATGCCCGCTCGGTAAGGGCCCAGGGACCAGGCGGAGCAGGTAAGGTAAGGCGCTCAAGTCAACCACAATACCGAGGACCGTACCCTGCCATGCCATATGCACCTTTAGGACAGTGCCAACAAGCCATGCCAGACCGGCACTATGCAACCTTCCAGGCGTGTCAGAGCACAAATAGTATTGTAGGCGCCGACATTTGTCGTACCAGGCGAACACCTGCGCTGGCGTGGTCTTCAGCGGCGGTCGGGATAGGGGCAAGGCCAAGCACGAGGACCAAGGCGAGGGCCCCTCCACGCAAAAGGGCAAGAAGACCAAGAAGGATCAGCGCCGACCGGCCAACCTAGCCTTGGGCGCTGCGACCGATCGTGCGGGCAAGCAGCCCCTGCAGGGCCAGCCCGACCACTTCGATAAGCTCATGGAGAGTCCATGCACCAACCACGCCTACCCTGTCAAGCACCTCTACAAGGACTGTGAGCTCCTCAAGCGCTTTCTACGGTAGGCCGGCAAGCCAAAGGAAGGGAAAGGCAAGGAGGAGGCGGCCAAGAAAGGAGGCACGGCGGGCAAGGATGACGATGGTTTCCCCAACCCCAAGGAATGCCTCATGATCTCTAGGGGATCCGACGCCATCCACTCCAAGCGCCAGCACAAGGTACGCTATAGAGCAGCTTGCGCCGCCGAGTCAGCCATCCCTTCTTTTCTTAGCTGGTCGGACTCCTCGATCACTTTTGATCAGAGAGACCATCCGTCCCACGTCACCCGACTGGGTCGCTACCCGCTCATTGTCGACCCCATCGTCCGCAAGAAGCGCCTCACCAAGGTGCTGATGGATAGAGGCAGTGGCCTCAACATCCTCTACGTCGACACCCTCGACACCATGCGCATCTCCCGGTCGGAGCTCTGCCCAGTGGGCTCTCCCTTCCACGGCGTGATCCTAGGGACGTAGGCATACTTGCTCAGGTAGAT